GATCGGTTTCGTAAATAATTGTAAATGCTAATAACGTATAACATCTTTATTAAATACAGTTACTTTACGTTAGGGCTTATCACACCAGTGAACACGCAGACAAAATTTCTTAAATTTAATATATATTTAAGTTTTCAAAAGAGATTTCACAATAATTAAAACTAATATGTATAAATTATATAAAATAGACTCGAAATGCATTTCGGACTTTAAAATAGTCCCTTTTCAGTCGGTGTTTCAATTAAAACATATAAGATAAAACACATAAAAGTTATATTAAAAAGCCGAAAGAAGAATGAAGAAACTGGCGTTATCTCACAGGTCCCTTACAATAACTTCTATCATTTTCATGTTTTCCATAACCTAGCTAGCCGTAGAGAGTTAATCGATGTCTCTGAAAGATTGATTGAAACACGTTTTATGTTTCAGTCAATCGATCAAACGGCCTAGGCGTGCATAGCGAGCAAACAAACAAACATCCTCGTTTATATTTGCGGATATGCGGGAAGTGAATTTGGAAAGAATAGCTTCTCCAAATAAATAAACAGGTGTAATGGAATGAGGGAGAAGAAGAGGAGTAAGGAGTTTGGTGTCAATGATGTCGTAACCACAGTCGTATACGTTGAAACCGTTCTGTAAAAACAGAATTGAGTGTTTATCATCCGTTATAATTTTAAAGCCATCGAGGAAGAAATATTTCTTAATCTCTGGATGTTAATCGAATAATTTGACACTTTCGGTCAGGATCGAACTCTCTTCTAAAGTCCTGTTTAATTAATGTACTATAGGATTACTCGCGAATAATTCGAATATTTAATAATTTAGCTAAAGTTTATAATTGATATTTTCTTTTCAAATTTTTATTTGTGTAAATTACAATCACATGTCAAAGAATAAAGTATTTTAGATAATAATACAAATAAAGCTAGAAACAATAGCAATAATATACAACAATAAAGAATCTCGATAATATTCACGTCAGAATAAACAATGTAAATAATGTGTAAGATCTCGGATTGATCCTGTTCCGCGATAAAATTATAAAATACGAGAATATTTCCTTTTATCTGCGTTTCACCCTTCTCTCAATGATGGCGAGAGAAAGGAAGGGCGAAAATGAAAATAGAACAGGCATTAAAAATGCATGCGATATGCTAGTTTCGATACGCATAGGTTCCGATTCTTTTCATATAGAAGAGTTCAAAACTATTTTTAGAATAGACAAATGAATATTATACAAAAGAAAGTTATCGTTTCTTATCGGAGAAGGATGCCGTGTCTTACGTGAGAAAACCTAAAGCACGAATGGAGCCACCAGAAGCCAAATTCTGTTTTGGAGAAACGACGGAGAAAAAAGTAATGGAAATTTTAGAGGAACAACTGCTCAGAAAGCATGTCAAAATTATTATGGAAATGGAAAATCCTGGAATATTTCATATGCTAAAAAATGAAAAAATGGAAGAATTAGCTTCTATGTACCAGCTCTTTTCTAGAACAGAAGATTGCTTACACATAATGGCTGAATACGTAAGCAAATATCTTAGCAAACTTGAGAAAAAATGATAGAAAAAGGAAAAAGGATTATACACATATCAGAATTTATACATAGCTGGATAGATTAAAAGAAAAATTCAATGTCTTTTTGTGTAAATCTTTTAAATCTGACAAATACGTTTAGAAAATGATAGTTAAACTTCGAACATCTCTTAAATTTAGATCTGAAATACTCAGAATATCTCTCTATTTATAAATGATAAATTTAAAAAGAAGTCCAGAGACTTTATTGGAGAGATTGAAGAAGGTATTATTGATAAAAGTTTCATTCTGTTTCGCTATCTTCGATATAAAGATCTGTTTTTAAAGTATTACATACAGCACATGGCCAAGCATTACTTTTGAATAAAGAATATCTAATGACTCCGAACAAGAAGTCATCTTAAAGATGGAATGCGGTGGTAGTCAACACACTTTTAAATTAGAGAAAATGATCAAAAATTTAATAATTTCAGATGGAACATCGAAGTTTTTAATAACACGTTATTTTGTAGAAATTTCTTAAGTAAAATCATTGAATTGAATGTTAAAAGTTCTGACTTCGGAGCTTTGGCCAATACAAAAATCTGTTGTAAGTTTCCCCGCGTTTTTTTATGCAGCGAGTGTAGCGAAATGACGTCACGAGCAGTATTGGCCAATTAGAAACCAGTTTCAGCGTGTTCACTGTAAAGCGCTTCTCGAGCGCTGCATAAAAAAACGCGAGGTTGCTGTTTACCCGAATATCGGAGGAAAATCTTGGATGCTTTTATGAAATTTTATTTGAAGAGACATTGCCGTCTCAATTTGGTTGGGCCGATATTTCTGCGGAAAAACGTTACAAGAGAATCATGTTAATAATAATAATACAATCCCTATTATTATGTTATTAATGTATAGTATTCTTTGTTTTATTGTAATCAGTGTAATGTAATTGGTCAGTAATTAATCAATGTAAATAATACTTGTTTTTTTTATGATATAAAGTTTGTCATTCAACATCATTTCAAAATAAATATATTTCAACTCTGATTTTGATGTTATTAAAAATGAAGTTCAAACCCCAATTTAAAGATTCTTAATCTAACAAAAAATGGGGCCCCATTGGATTTCAATAAGACCTAGGCCCCAAAAATACTAGACCCACCCCTGCGCCCAGGCAATTATAAACTGCGGGTAAATAGCACATGTCCAGTGAAAACTTCAAGTTACATTTTACAAAAATTAAAGCATTATCATCAAAATGTAGCCTAAATAATAGTAAATTGCCCAAATCTAGTAGCCTAGAATCCTACAAATACTGTATCTCAATCTGCTACTTGTAGCCGAATATTGCAACCCTGAAAACCAGATGCATTTTATGAAAATAGAAAAAGTGTGGTTGATGGGTAAGATGACACCGAAAACGTGTGTTACTGTAAAAGCAAAAGTATGTTGACCAGATTAGAGTTATTTGTTCTTGATTATTCTCTTATGGTATGGATGCACATAAACTTCGATCTAAACATACAAGGTAACACATTATGGTTCATACAGATTTTTCATTTTGAATTTCAAAGTAGCCGTATTTTGAACCAAATTCCTTAAAATGTATCACATTATAATTCGGGCAGATTTTTCTTTTCAAATTTCAAAGTAGCCATATTTTGAACCAAATTCCTTAAAATGTAAAGCTCTAACTCCAGCTGGGACAAATAACTTAGAACAGTTATGAACTAACAGGATTTCAAACTGAGTTCAAATTAACAAGGATTTCCTGTATATTATATAAATGCTGTTGTGACGGAAGCTTAACTATAGGGAGAATTAACTTCCAAGTTACTACTGGAGCTGAATTTGGTCTGTTGTAAGTTAAGTTTTTCACACAGTAATAAAAATTGCCTTAAGATTTAAAATACATTTTTTAAAAATTGTGTACAATTTTTTGCTTTGAACAATTATACAGCATATTTAGGGTGGTAAGTTGCCTTCTAAATGATAATTTGAAAGCAATTATATAATTTTATAGTTATTATTTTAGAAAATTACCATGATGATTTAAATTGATTTAAGAATAAAGTAAAACTTTTGTAAATGAACCAAAAAAGCACAGTATTATAATACATTTTAAAAGTGTGTGTTGTGTGTTTGGCTAATTTTGATGCATTCCTTGCAATAGAAAATTAATTTCTTCTTTAATATTTCATGAATTTTAAATATAAAGAATCATGCTGGTTTTCAATAGTTCTTATAATCTTTTGATTAAGCAGGTACAGGGTTATTCATAAGTCCATGACACATTTTAAAAATTTATTATTCATAAACTACACAACAAGATACTATATTTTTTTAACATTGAAATAAAGGTAAATGTTCCAAGTTTTTTTTACATGAATCACAAATGTTTAATATGTCCATCTTTGCTGATGTGGAAGACATCTGGCCAATAATCCATTTCCTCCCGTATGCACATCAGTCCTGTCATTTGTTGAGAGACACAACTTCTAAACTTGCAATATAGCGAGTGGACTTGCGGGGAGCTATGCTCTTAGGCTTGTAAAACATGATCCACAGTTTGTTTACTTGGCCATGGACGAGGAATAGTGTGCAGACAGACTTCATCCCAGAATTTCGCATAACATTCCAGCATAGTGTTGTATACAGGTGGCTCCTTACGGAATTCTGCTTGAAATTCCGTAAGGAGCCACTTGTATACATCCGTATACGACCCACGTCCTTACATCCGTAAGGAGCCACCTGGATCCTTACATCTGAAAGTCACAACAGTCCAACACACAAAATAACTTTTCACATTTGCTTAGTGCCATATTTACTATTGTTACTTCTTAGTTACAAATTGTGGTAACTATTTACACCTATGTATATTCCTGGAAAAAAAGCTTGGAGAATTTACCTTTATTTCAATGTTAAAAATATAGTATCTGTTGTGTAGTTTATGAACATTAAATTTTTAAAATGTTTTACAGACTTAGGAATAACCCTGTATTTGTTGAATTGTTGTTGTCTGTATTGATTTAAATAGATTTAGATCTAAACCAAATGGTAAATTTTTAACAATTCAAACCTGTTAAAGTAATGATAACACACAATGCTTTCTTTTATCTTTAATAATTAGATGATGATAATCTTGACTGGAATATGAATGAACAATTCTTGCTTAAAAAGCAATGTTATATATAATATATAATCTTAATACTGAATTAAAAGAATTACATAAGCTTTAAAGAATATATATATATATATATAAGATACCAGTAAATAAACTATCATCACACATTTAGTTTTTTTTAATACAATTATATGAGTTTTCAATAGTGATTGATATTAGTCAGTTTCAGTACTGTTAATTGGTACATTCTTGTTTTAATTTAAAATATTAAAAAATAAATAAATGTATAATATGTAAATTTACTGAAAATATAAAAACTTTATTTTCAAAATCTTTTAATGAACAAATATTAAAACTGTTGATAAATAAGATTGTAGTCTTTTACTGTTTTATACTTTAAAACAGACAGTTAAAAATAAAAAATAATGTGCTTTCATCTTTGAACAATTTGTCTTTTTAATCTTCAAATAATTTTAACTCTTTTTCTTTATGATCTGAATCTTGAAGATGGTTCCTGAGATCTTTCAACGTTTTGACAGTAATACCACACAGACGACATTTATTTACATTTATCCCTTGTGAGCAACTAGAAAAATAAAATGATTTAATTATTGTAACTTTTATATAAAATATCTTATAAAATTTTGAATATTTGTTTAAGCTAAAATTATATGATTATAATGAACTCTGTATTTGGAACTCTAAATATCTAAATTTGCACAATGAATACATACTAGACTATTAAAATAAATATGACAATTGTCATCATGAAGTGATGCAGTCCAATTTATTTCCCGTTAACTTTTACCTCTAGTTGTTCTTTCTGTATATGCTCTCATTGACAAAAATAAATTATACATCCAAATTGTCTGATTGCTATATGCACAGTTTTGCAATAATGTCTCAGATAGATACATAAATCATTATAGTTACTATTCAATTGCACACCAGGTAATGCTACCCAGAGTGCCTTAAAATTTCTTTCCCAATATCCTATAAAAAGGCTTTAGAGACTTATTGTGTTCAGAGGTCTTCAAATGCAAGGCATAGCTGATGGAGTTTGAGAAAAAAACTGTCTGGGCTATTCCAACACAACTGAGGTGGTATTGGAGGCAGAGTGCATATGTGGGGATATGCACACATAATGGAGTTCTGTGCTACCAGGAGTGCGAAGGTCGTAAAAGCGTGTCGAAATAATGACTAATTACAAACTTTTATGTCAGAGAGTTTCGAAGATAGAATTGGGTCAAGAGGGTGTGTTAATGACAGAACCCAGATGGGACGAAAACTTTTTTCGAATTGTAAAACAAACGCGACGTGATGATAAACAACAGGGGGGAATGTCAACAGAGAGAAAGAGGTTTGTCAAGATGCTCGCGAACAAGTGTCGGGTCGAAGCAATCGAGAGAAAGGGGGTCTAAGAACAAAAGGGACATCTGTTAAGTCCGAACGCAGTAGGGGATAAATGGCCACAAGAACATCTGGTGGACCATTTAAGTTCAAAGATGTCCAGGAGAAAGGCCATAACGGAGAAAAATACGAGCGCAAACATTAAAAGCCCCGTCATCACCTCTCAGACGTTTTCCTGACCCGGATCGGTCTCAAGTTTCCCCTAGAAACAAAAGAATGACCAATCAGGGTAAGGGAGAGGGTGAACAGGACCAATGAAAAGGGTGAGATTCGGGGAAAATCTTATAAAACCCCTGAATCTCAAGGACAAGAAAGAGATTCTCAGCCACTTCTCTCCGAAGAGAGATTCTCAGCCGCTTCTCTCTGAAGAGAAATTCCCAGCCGATTCTCTGCAGTTATCCATTCGGACCAGGTTCTCCACCAGTGACCAAATCTACGTGCATCCGCAACATCACGGGACAGAGGCCCCTGTGCAACGGACACTCTCCTGTCAAGCCCAGGACACCAGTCAGCGCCCGTTCGTCGACATCAAGGAGCTCCCACCAAAGCCAATCTAGGTTGCATTGTTATTGTCATTATGTAAGTTAACCTTATGTTAAAATAAACGGTTTTTGTGTAAGATACTTGTCATCTTTGTCTCCTACCGCCACCACCCACATACGGTTTGACCCTAGGTTTTCCTGACGCGCAATTAACGTATTTCTCCCTAAAGTTGGCGACCTTACACGAGAGATGATTGTCTGATCATGAGACAAACATGAATAGCTGTGACAGAGTCTTTGTCCACCATCCAGAGATGGGTGGAAGCCCCGCTATAGAACCTGTCATTTCCCATACCATTGGCAGCAACTAGCAGAAACAAATTTTATCCACATTGACCACTATCTGTCCCCAACATTGTCAGCTTTGTTTGCAGTGGTGCCATGATAGAGGAGCATAGACTGCTATGGACTGACAATCGTCTTTAGTTAGTTCCAGTTGTTTGGGTACAATGACCACATCAATGTGTAGAAGACCACTGGTAATCGCTTCAATCTCACCTTTACTATTGAATGGCACTCTTCCCTAAGGGGTGAAGATAGATTGTATCAATATCACAACAGATTACAGTTTTTAACTTTCAATAGCCTACTATTGACTTTCTGAAACTATCACAAAACTAAGTAACTCTCCACATCCTATTAAATAAAACAGCATGGTTTTTAATCTTTTTACATACCATTATTATTTTTAAAAATTGTATAAATATAAGATTTTATGAAGCGTCATAAGCAATAAAGAATTTTTATCAAGTAATAAAGCCAATCACCTTGCACAGAAAGAGTTGTGTTACCTGCATGTGAATGCCACAACACACCATAGATTGCTCCAACTCTAATATTGTGGCATCTTTTTACAAAACAATAACAAAAATGATATGCAATAATTGTTTAAAGCCACTTTCAATATCAGGTAAATATTTTCTTTTCCATTTATTAATATTATGTAAAATTTAAAACTGAAAAGTATTAGTACTAATGTAATAATACTACATTAGATTTAAGCATAATCTGTGTGTGGTGGCAATATGTACTTTTAGTTAGTGTTAACTATTTTGGGCTTTGGCAAATAATTAAATAAATTAATAAATAAAAAATAATTATGATATAAATCTAATTTGAATATACAATAAAATTTAACATTACTACTGTTTGTTTCCCAAAAAGAAATTAATTTATCTATGGGAATATTTTACAAGAAAATACAAATCCTTACTCTCCAAACAAAATTCATTCTGAACAGGTCTCCAAATACATTCATATCAGTCTTAAACCAATCTTCAAATTCTTGTGCATCAGTTTCAAGCCTCATCATTATGTTTTTTTCCACAGATTATCAAAAGACTGATTCCAGTCTTCATCTAAGTATAGTTTTCTCAATTATAATCCAGCCAAGCATCTTGTGATCAGATGAAAGGGAGGGTCAAAAACCAAATCAATGTGTCAATCACAGTTATTCTTCTGTACGTGATTGTTAAGATTCTTTGTTTTAACATCATACAAGATGAAGGATTCAAACAACAACACATATTAGCTGGCAATCAGTATTGTATTACCTCACAGGAGATTTCTGGTTAGAAGATTAGACAAGCAATTTTGATGTATTAAGACACTGCTCAAACAGAAGCTACAATTATGAGAAAATGTCTGCCTCATTTCTGACATTTGGACTGATGAACTGAACACAAAGTGAGCTGTTAAGCTAAGAACACAAAGTGAGCTGATGGCTATCTTCTTGATGATTCACACCAATCACTGATTCTTGCAGTCCAGCCTGTCAGTATGAATAGCAATGCAGAAAATATACAAAAAAAATGCCTCAAACAGATCGTTCAGATTGGAAAATGGATAACATTAGAATTGACTGCTGTGTTATAGATGTAGCTGCAAATATTGTTAAAGCTGTACAGACACAGTTTGAAAGAACAAGTACCTTCACTGGTTTGTTCACTTAAGTTTATTTACAGTGGATTCCATGAAATCAAATACTCAACTTTCTGAAATAATCAAAGCAGTTAAGGAAATTGTATTTTTTCAGAGAGTATAAAAGCTGCTGATAGGTTAGCACAGTTACTCAAGAAACTGAAACCCTCAAACAGTATCCAGCATTATAGCACTATTCAAATTAAAACAAGAAGTGAAAACAAGTATTTTTCTAATAAAACTATATACAGTTGACCACCCCTATAACACTGTTGATAATTCATTTTATACGAATTCCATGTTATACAAGTCACTTAGATTTTACAAATGTGTGAGCCGTTCACAGCCCGGCACATGTATTTGTAAAATCTAAGTGACTCGTACAACATGGAATTCATATAAAACGGAATTATCAACAGTATTATGGGGGGGTCAACACTATTATATTCTTGAGAGATAACAAGAATACAATAACCCTTATTAATTTTGTCTAAATACTGCCATAGCTAAAATAAAAAATTTCTCAGAGAACTAATGATGAGATTTAAAATGTAATAAACTGTTCACTGTAAAGCAGGGTTGTCCAATCTTTCGGTTTCTTTGGGCCACATTGGAAGAAGTCATGGAGTTCTGGCCACAAGTTTATTGTGGCCCAATCCTTAAATATACAAGTATATTTAAGGATTTACATGTCTAGATTATAGTAATAAGTATTAAAACTTTATCACGAAAAAGGATAAAAAATTTTTTTTTGAATTTTTGGAATGTTTTTTAGGTCCCCAAATTTTTTCAAAATTTTTTGTCTGCGTGAAAAATTTTATTGCGATTTTAATGAGCCCTTGATAAGGCTCGATTGTTTTTTAATGGGAGTTTTTTATCAAATTTATTTCATGGTTCCTAAGTTGTAGCGCACGGATTTGACTTCGGTAAAGTTATTTAAAGCTGCTTTCTGATGTCAAAAACAACCTCCAAAATTTTTAAAATGTTTTTAATTAATCGATTTTTTAACATATTAATTTAATTAATTAGGGGGGGGTCGGAAATAGCAATTAAAATCTTAATTTTTTAAAAATATACATGTCGGTCATATTCACCCTACTTTAAACCCTTGTCCTCCCGAGACGTATATGAGAACGTCCCGGGAAATCAGACTCCAGCTGTGTAAACAGTGACTCATTGGTGTTAAATTTCACAGAAAGGCGAGACAAAGGAAAATAAAATTTGAAGCTTTTTCTTCAAAATTAATGCATTTCTTTCATGTTTTTCAGTTTTAAGTATTTTTATGTATTTTTTATGCTTAATTACATCATAATTAAAATCAGTCGGGCGTTAAGGGATTAAAAACTTACTTCTACAGACACTTTTAATTTCTACTTAGAAATAGATAAATTTATTTATTATAAAGGAGAAAAACAAAAATTTATGTGAAAAACACAAATATTTGTTTTATTTGGGTTTTTAATAAAAAAACAACAAAACACAATTTTAAAGTGCATTTTTATTCAACAAATATAGTTATAAATAATATGTAGCCCAAAATGTAGCCAATGCGCCAAATGATATTTTTTACGCCAAACTAAAAAAAAGGGTAGCCAAATTTGGCGCAAAGTTGCCAAATCTTGCAACGCTGAAAGGAATATTAAATAAAGCTAGAGTTGGTATTCAAAAGATTATAGACCTAAATTTGGAGAAAGGACAAAGGTCAAAAAATAAAGAAGTGAGAAAGGTAAATAAGACCTTCCGTTATGCAAATATTGATCCTTAATTTTCCAACCTTTCTCAATTCTTTTTGTTTTTTTCCTTTCTCTTCTTTTTCTGAATTTGGGGCTATAATCCTTGAGTCACGACTTCAGCTTTATTTAGTATTCCTTCCTCATTCACACATCTCAAGTATTTGAAAATATTTCCTTTCTATTAAAAAATAAAATATGTATAAAGGTTTAGGGTTTTGTGAAACTTCTTTTTGAGGTTTATGACATTGAAATAAATAAATAAATAAAAAATTTGTCAGTTTTGTTTACACGTTTATTGGGCCGCATTAGAACTTGTCTTGGGCCGCAGATTGGACACCCCTGCTGTAAAGCCACTGTAATTATGCATCTTTGTCAAAGCTTTGTAATCATGTATTATCACATTCAGACAAATCTATAATTGGAGTTAATGACATAAATAGATACATTAGACCTAAAGACATAAATAGAAATATTGCAATTAAATTGTTAGTAAAGTTATCTGAAATTTATTTTACCTTTTGGATATTAAATGCAGTTCTCTAATGTGGTCTTGTAGCATAATTTTAACCTTATCTTCTATTAATTCGACAGCTTTGTGAAGAGGAAATACATGAGGACAATCACAGGGTGTACCTTCTACTGTTGATTTCAATATATACTTTTTTTCAATTTGCTTCCATTTATATTTATGACGAAATTCCTTTGGCTCTACAGAATTTCTGACTTTTATTAATAGGCTAAAAAAAAGAAAAAAAAAAAAATATATATATATATATAGTGATCAACATTCTGAAAAAAAAATATTTCTTAAGTAATTGATGTTCATTAAATTATTATCTAATTTCAAAATTTCTAGTTTAACTCCTCAATTTTTTATTTATAAAATAGTATTAACTTTTTTATTGAAACTAACATCCAGAGCATCAAACAGATTTACATAAAATTCAAAAAGCTTAGTCTTGTAATTTTGTTTTAGTTATTTTGCAAACACCAAAATTACATTTTAATAAATCTCACTAGATAAAAATATTTCCTCCTGTATATAAACAACTCCACAAACCCAATTTTTAATTAGATAATCAATCACCAGACTATCTACTGAATTATTGAGCTATAATAAGGCCAAGCTAATAATTACATACGAAGTAATTTGTCTAGAGGTAGATGGTTAAGCTGCCATTTCATGACAATTTTAATAATTATAACAAACTAGCAGACCCCGCCACGCATTGTTGTGGCTCAAAATGTATCTATTATAAATGTCTAACACTTCCCCCGTGGGGGGAAATTTTTCAAAAAATTTCTTCTTAATGTACATTCTCTTGACGTACCCTATTAAAACGCAATCAAAAACACAAAAACCCACATCTAAAATAGTATAAATAGAAGCAGAGTTCTTTAAGGTAATGGAGGGAGATGGTTAGGATTAAGGCGTAAGCCTTTAAGCCTTAATCCTAACCATCTCCCTTCAGTGGGGGAATTTCGATATGTATATTACAGTAGAGCCTCGATTATCCGACCCCCCGATTAACCGCCACCTCGGTTAACCGACCGTCCTAGTCGGCAAATTTCAAATGTCCGCCAGTGATGTGGCGCTACAATATTTGGCTATGTCTCGGCTACTTTAATATTATTTTTACGTGTTTTAGCTGGCAACACTCATTCGACTATGAAAGGGAGCCAGTATTTAAAGGAGGCTTAATTTTCTAATTTTTAACGATACAATATCGACGATTATTATTTTAAAAAATTTTTGTTAGGTTTAACATCGATGAAAATTCAACGCGAAGTAGGTTAATAGCGATATACTAATACTAATTACATGGGATATAATAATATACTACACTAATAATGGATTTTTTCATACTTTTCGGTTATCCGACTTTTCAATTATCCGACCAATCCCAGTCCGCAATTGGGTCGGATAATCGAGGCTCTACTGTATATAAAAACACGTGCATATTCGAATGCAGCATTGTGTCAAAATTTCAAAGGAATCGGTAGGAACAAACGAACATTACATTTTTATTTATATAGATAGATAGATGATGATCTGCTTTAGTTCATTTTCACAGAAAAGCAAACTTAGGGCGTCGTTCTCGTAGTGCCTTCTGTTGGACATAAAAGCCTTAACCTAGATTATATTTTTTCATTTATATGAATGTTTAACAGAATAATATACAGCCTATGTCCACCCTGAAGTTCCATTCTAAATATTGGTGAAAGAATTTTTGAAATCAGATGAGTAGTTTCAAAGATTACCTGCTACATCCAAACTCACTCACTTACAAACAATACCTCTTTATAATATTAGTATACATTAATTTTAATTTAGAATTTCTGGAAGAAACAAATCAGCCCAGAATAGAGTTTGAACCTGCAACTTCTGCTTACCATGTGCCTTAAGCAGAAGTTATGGGTTTGAGTCCTGCCCTAGACTGATTCTTTTCTTCCAGAAATTCTAAATTAAAATTATCATGAGATGCCAACTTAACCATCTACCTCAACAAATTACTTTGTATCTAAGTATTCATTAACTTAGCCTTATTATAGCCCAATAATTCGGCAGATCATCTGGCTCATATTTCCTTTTCAAAGTACTAAACATAATCCATATTTATGTTTTACAAAAATATTTTGTTGATACAGAATACTGCTAATGATTCCAGGGAATAGCATACAGCACATCTTAGACCATTGATTCTAATAGAAATCATCAAATTTAACTACTATATTATAAGACTTTTCTCTATATGATAAATGCTTTTCTCCTACATATAATTTTATTTTACATATTATTCTCTAACATTTAATGATGAATCAAAGGAAAATTATGAAAATACCTGAGCTTTAATATATTGGGTTGTTCGAAAAGTAATTTTGTTTTTTTTTTTTTTTTTTTTTACCACTAGACGGATTAGTCGTATTTTTCCTACCATTTTCATTCTAAACTGTATTATCATTATATATTTTGACAGCTAGCATTTTAAGGCTTATTTGTAAAAAAATTTTGTTTGATTTTGTGCAATTGTTTATTTTTTGTGTCCCATCAAATATGAAAGATTGAAAGCAGAATTTTCGGCATATTTTGCTCTTTTATTACTAAAAAGGTAAGAATGCTGTTCAAGCGAGAAAAAAATTGTGTGACGTATATGGAGAAGATGAATTGACAGAATGCCAATGCCAAAACTGGTTTACAAAATTTCGTTCTGGCAATTTCAATATTGAAGATGCACCACGTTCTGGATGGCCAGTTGAAGCCAATGAAAACAAAATAAATGTACTGATTGAAGCAAACTGCCAAATAACAACATGTGAAATCACTAAGAGATTAAATTTGTCAAATTGAACTGTTTATGATTAGGCTCTACTTGAAACAAATTGGTTTCGTTTCAAAATATATGGGTTCCACACGTTCTTTTAAAGAATTTTAAAGAAATTTTTTTTTGGAGCTTTTACCAGACAATTTAACAATTAATTCAAAAGTGTAAAAAAAAAAAAAATTGAATCGAGTAAACTAATTGAGTCATATTATCAAACAGAAAAGGCAGCCAGAATTGATCAACAAAACAGGTGTAGTGTTTTACCATGATAATGTTAAATTTCACTAAGGTTTGGTAACTCGTCAGAAACTGTTATAACTTAGATGGGACATACTATCACACTAACCATATTCGCCAGATCGAGCACACTCAGATTATTACTTGTTCCGGTCTATACATATTTTTTTCTAACTGTAAGACATTTACTTGAAATGACAATGTCAAAAATCACTTGGATTAGTTTTTTGTAAGCAATGATCAAAACTTTTATGAATGTGAAATCATGCTACTACCAGAAACGATGACAACAAGCATTTAACCAAAATGGTCGATATATAATTCAATGAAATGTTTGTTTATTATAAAAATATTGTCTTTTTTCCACGTAAAAAAATGAAATTACTTTCCGAACAACCCAATATATAATTTTTTTTAATTTAATGATTAATTTTTACTTATTAATTACTTTGCTTATACTAGTGTTTTAATATCTATTTCTTAATTTAAGTTATTTAATTATTTAAAATATTAGCTAATTAAAAATATTTTTAAAATATAGTTTTAGATATATTTCAAGATATCTTTTACTCTAAAAGATTTCTTCTTATCTTTTTTTGTATTTTGGGGATGTCTATATTGGCTGGCTTTTCTTTTGCACCTAATAATAAATTTATTCCCATTCTAATAGTGTTTATCTACAAAAAATAGAATAAAAATATTAGTTATATACAAACAATACTTTTAACAAATTTTTTTTATAAATGATAAATATTTTAAATAAAAATAAAACTTATACAGTGGTACCTCAGGATACGAAATTAATCCGTTCCGAAACTGAGATCGTATCATGAAAATGTCGTAAGGTGGATCATCTTTTCCCATACGATTACATGTAAAACCGAATAATTCGTTCCAACGCGAAAAACATACTCAAATTAAAGCCAAGTAATACATTAAAAAAATAACTGTAGTAAGAAAAACAAATGAAAAATGCGAACTAATGTAACGTCGTATGGTGAGTTTTTGTTCTTATCGTGGAGCAAAAATATGTTCGAATTTCATCTCGTATCCTGAAAATTTCGTATGCTGGGGCGTTCGTAACCTGAGGTACCACTGTAATAAAAACACAGTTTAATTCTTTTTTTAAAAAAATAACCATAATGATAAAGATAGTATGAATTAATGAAATATATCTCAAAAAATTGAACACAGTTTTTCTGATAAAAATCTATTATTATTTGCTTATATAGGCAAAATTTTTTCCATAAACTTTCATATTTATTCATATAATGTTTATTTTAAGTGAACAGAACATTTAAATTTAAAGTAACATAACACAACTAGAATGTTTTTGAACATTCTTTAAGGGATGATCAAAATGTTTTCATTCGACAACATTGCAGTTGTATATATGACTTGTACCATGTCCAGAGTGAGCCAATAAGAAGCCAGTGAGTGAGTGATCTAGCTGTACAATTACAGACACCTGGAGCACTTGCCATAAAGTCCAGATCTCTTGCTATGCAATTTTCACACCTTCAGTCCTCTGAAAAACTCTATGAAAGGATGATGGTTTCAGTAAGATAATGACACGAAGAGGGCTTATTCAGGTAACCAATCTCTACAAGACATCATTAACCCAATTCATCAACAGGACATTTGTACTAATACCAGTGACAATTTCTTCTAAATGGAATGAACCTTACAGCTGTTGAATGGAAACTTTTTAATCATCTCTCTCATTTTCAAGTTAAAAGATATTCAGATTTAATAAAAATCAATAATAAAAAGAGGGATTATTATGTTAAAAAAAAATACTTATTCTTATTATATGAACACTACTTGGTTCTCCCTCTCCCTCCTTTAATTTTTAAATCTCACTTCACACTTCATTATCATTATTGAAGCATTTAATTCTCAAATAACTAATAATTAATAGAGAGGTTGAGGCACAAGTTCAAACGTTAAATGTGTATGGGTAGCAGAAGTACATGTTACACGTTTCAAGTCCAAGTAAAAATCGTTGAGGCACCTGTTCATAACATCGCGCATTGACTCACAGGAAATAAGTTGAAAAAAATGGCGGAAGCATTTTGCACGGAGGATTACCAAGAAAGGTAAATAAACAAATTAAACTATTTAAAAGTACAGTAGAGCCTCGATTATCCGACCCCCGATTAACCGACATCTCGGTTAACTGACCCTCCTAGTCGGCAAATTTCAAATGTCTGCTAGTGATGTGGCGCTACAATATTTGGCTATGTCTTGGCTACTTTAATATTATTTTTACGTGTTTTAGCTGGCAACACTCATTCGACCATGAAAGGGAGCCAGTATTTAAACGAGGCTTAATTTTCTAATTTTTAACGATACAATAGCGACGATTATTATTTTAAAAAATTTT